GTATTACTGACTTGGTAAAAAAAAAAAGTTTTCAAAGATACTCATTAATAATTGACCAAAATAGCAAACCAAGAGAAATATCATGGAACAAGGATGTTGCAGATATATAAATATAAAGACATTTATAAATGATAACAGCCACTTAATAATTGATTAGAAAAAGTGGATGTGGACATAGTTCCATAATCATTCCTGGTGTAAAGAAGCATTTTGCAATGAAGGCTTTTCATACATTATAATGCTTGCCTTAGGAAAATAGGAGATTAATATATGGGCTCAAGTCTTGGACTGATCTTAGATTTCATACTCAGCATGGATCAATTGCTTCAGACTTGGAGAAATTATCTGGAAGCCATAGAAATACACTTCTACCTTTCCATTTCTAACCCCCCCCACACACACACTGGCACTGATGCTTACAGAATTATTATTTCTTCATGATGGAGATTATATTAACATGCCCCTCATTATTAATCAGGCTAGAATAAAGGAAAAGAAGGAAAATACATAGGTCAATAGATAATTTGTGGAGTTATTAATTTTTTTTTCGAAAACATCCATCCAGTGGTTTGGACATGAATATTTTTGTTTCTCAGTGAATATGAGGGGAAAGTATCATATATTTTCTTTTCAAGTTCTGGAATATTTAGTGTATGGGTTTCTTGATTTCTAGTGACATTTATATTAAAGGTTTTAGGCATCATTTTATTAGATTTCTGCATTAAAAATAGAACACATTTACAAGATGTATGTAGGAATGCTCTAAAGTTCATAAGAATGTCAGAATGAAGCAGAATCATGTGAGTATGTGGGAAAGCATATTGAAAATTTTACAGTATATTCTGGAGCTAGTTGCTGACTTAAGAATAATGCAGAGAGCGAATTCAAATAAACTGATCGGGAACTGAACTGAATTACGAGGTATTAATCTGTGAGATCTGAGCTCATTCCTCTTCAGGTCTTCCTGATACCATTCAATCCCAGTTATTCCTCCTATTTAGATGCTTAAATTGTCTAGATATGAAGTGACTCTTCAAAGGTCTCATATTTTGGAGGATTTGTACCCTGATGATTATGCTACTTTAGGTAAGTCCAAATCTAAGGAAGTGGGACCTGACTGGAGGAAGTAGGTCACTTGGGATGTATCTTTGTGGCCTGTATCATGTCCTCTGGGACCCTTTCTGTGTTTCTTTGCAACCATGAGGTGAACAACTTTGGTCCTGTCTGTCCTTCATACCATAGTATTGGGACACATGGCAGCCCAGAAACAATGAAATGGAAGCTGTGGGATCAAACAGCTGGAAAAATGAACAAAATTATCTTCTTTGTCATATGGACAAAAGGAGCCTTATACACTGATGGTAGGAATGTAAATTAGTTCATTCACTGTAAAGTCATTATGGGCATTGTTCACAAAACTAAAATTAAATATTCCGTATGACCCAGCTATCTCACTCCTTGATATTTAACCAAAGGGCTCAATGTCAACCTGTCACAGAAGTGCTTGCATGTCAGTAATATTTGCAGCATTATTTACCATAACTAAGATGTGGAAACCAAACTAGATGTCCAATAACAGAGGGATGAATGGATAAAAGAAATGCATATATACGTAATGGAATTTTTCAGCCTTAAAGAACAAAGTCATATTACTCTCAAAATAAGGAACACAGATAATCATAAGAAACAATAAGCTAGTCTCAGAAAGACAAATACTGTGCATTTTCTCTCGTTTGCTGAGATAAAGTATTTTATGGAGTTACATGAAAGGATGGGACAGGAAATTGGAAGTAAAAAAAAATGTGATGGAAAATTGGAAGTAAAAACATCTAAAGAAAGAAAGGGGACTATTGGGAGCAGGAAGGGCTAAGTGAGCAAATGGTGGGGTATGGAGAAGGGATGCTTAATATACAGTCCATACTTGCATGCATGATGGCTAAGATTTTCCATTTCAGGGAGATCGTCACCTCTCCTCCCAGGCCTGCCTTGTCTATTCTCTGTGAAGTTAATTTCATACTCACTGTTCATGAAGAAGGTGCTTCCCTGGCCGCATTTCAAGTGCTCAATAGGATGATATCTCATGTGGCTATTGTAGTAGAGAGCACAAATACAAGATGGTATTTCTCTCAGAGTACTCTTGTGGGAAGAATGTGTGAAGATGTCTGTGTTTGTGTGGACTGTGGGTAAATTAAGACTGTAGTTTACATAGAGACCAAGTAATCTGGATACTCTGTGGTTTCAAAATGCAAAATATCTTCCCAGCATTGCACACAAGTGTCTTCTTTAGATGTGCTGGTTAGAAACAGACACAAATACAACAAAGAAAAAGCTCTAAACTCAATGTGCCTTTGAGATTATTTGACTAGTGTAGCAATTGTGTGACTTTCTGAATAGTAATTATGAAAATAGTAGCATCAAAACAAAAGTGAAAGCAGTATTTTCCTTTATTTTCACTTTTAAAATCTGTCTCCCTGAAGATGATAACACTTGACTGAGGCACAGTCTATTTTGTTAATCAGTTGGGAGATTTATAAAAAAAAAACAAAAACACCTCCCTCCTTTCTTGAGTCCTTGTGGCTGTTCTCCTGTGAACTTTTCCTCTGCGTTGTTGTGTTGATGCTGAAAACAATCCCATGACAAAAACCTCTCTCTTATTAAAGACAAGGTCTTATTTCAAACTGAGAAAATAATTAGAAAGCCGACAGGAATTCCTCTGGGTACCATAGTGTTTGTAATGAGAAAATTGAACATCTCTGAAGCCAAAGGGCTTGGCCTTGGGAGCCTGGAAATGCTGTTTTTCTCTCAAGGGCGGAACCCAGATGTCTATCACAGCACTTGTGGAAACACAGTGCTCTCATTCCTGCCCAGATATGCCAATCAGTGCCTTTCTGATGTCTTGCTGCAACATGTATTAAGAGAAATTCTGAAGTAGTTATTCGTTTCATTATGTCTGGAAAAAGTCCAGATACAGGTGCATGAATTAAATCAGTTATTTGTGTATCACTTCGAGCATGAAGTTCAAACTCACTGGAAGCCACATATTATATGCTTGAGAGGCTTCTGCAATTTCAGAAAGACATGTACTTGACTGCTGGAAGAAGAAAAAGGACACACGGGAGCCGAGTTCACTCCTGTCTGCTGGCATCATACTGATGACTGAGATAGCATCCCACACATAATTCCAAAGGGCAGCAGGGAAAGCAAGGGCAGGAATGCCATCACTCACTAATCTGAAATGTGCATCTCTATATGTTCATATGTATTCTGTCTGGAAAAAGCTTGTGACTCTATTACAAATTAGAATGTCCATGTTAAAGGGGAATTATTGTATTTTACCTATAATTGTAAGGAGCTCAGTTCCTGAAAGCAGTTCTATTCATTTACCAGCATCCAGTATCGTTAGATTTATTTTTTTTTGAAATAGTCATTCATGAAATCTTAAAACAGACGATCACGCATCCTGCAGAAGAGGAGGAGGAAGGATTGTAGGACCCAGTGTTGTAAAGGACACCACCAGACAATCCACGGAACCAACTAACCTGGGCTCGCAGGGGCTCACAGAGTCTGAACTGACAACCACGGAGCCTGCATGGGACTGACCTAGGCACTCTTCATATGTGTTACAGCTGAGTAGCTTGGTCCTCCTGTGAGACTCCTAAAAGTGAGAGCAGGGGCTGTCTCCGACTTTGATGCCTGATGTTGTGACCTATTCCTCCTATTGGATTGCTTCATCCAACCTTCATAGAAGAGGTGCCTAGTTTCTCTATAACTTGATATATAATGGCTTGTTGATATCTGTGGGAGGATTTGAAGAGAAACAGTGGAGGAGGAGTGGATAGGGTATAGATGGGAAACTGGGAAGAGAGCAGGGAGGGGAAACTTTGATTGGGACGTAAAAATAAATAAAAAAAACCCCTAATGACCATGTTAGTAACATATTGCATCATTTCTGTTACTAGTACTAGAGATTAAAGTGTGACTGCTATTGCTGTAGCTAATACATACAGTCAAACAAGCAGCTTTTACCTGTTAGTTTTTCTCATATGTCATTTTACTAGGATATAAAAACCATTATTGAAAAGACATTCTTATTTCTATCAGCACATGACCTACTAGTTTTCTGATAGAACTAATTAATATACAGCATGGCAAATAAGTGAAAGAAATTTTGTTTTTTTTTCTTTTTGGATATTTCTATATGCTTCAATTCTATATGAACATAAATTTTAGTTGCCAATAAATAATTAAGTCTGTATTGATTAAAAAAATCCTCGCCGGGCGGTGGTGGCGCACGCCTTTAATCCCAGCACTCGGGAGGCAGAGCCAGGCAGATCTCTGTGAGTTCGAGGCCAGCCTGGGCTACCAAGTGAGTTCCAGGACAGGCGCAAAGCTACACAGAGAAACCCTGTCTCGAAAAACCAAAAAAAAAAAAAAAAAAAAAAAAAAAAAAAAAAAAATCCTCATGTTTTTTTTTTTTTGATGTGCCATAATTCTGCTCTGCCAATAGGGGGTGTGCAAATGCCATGACAAATTTGTAGCTGAAGTTTTCTCCAGTCCTGCCTGGCCCATGGTCAGGACAAATCTCTCTCACCCACCAGTCCCACAGCTGCTCAGACTCAACCAAGTAAACACATAGAGACTTATATTACTTATAAACTGTATGGCCGTGGCAGGTTTCTTGCTAACTATTCTTATGTCTTAAATCAACCCACTTCTATTAATCTATAAGTTTCCACATGGCTTGTGGCTTACCGGTATCTTTACATGTTGCTTGTCATGGCAGAAACTGACAGCATCTCTCCCGCTCAGCCTTCCACTTCCCAGAATTCTCCTCTTTCCTTGTCCTGCCTATACTTCCTGCCTGGCTACTGGCCAATCAGTGTTTTATTTATTAATCAATCAGAGCAACACATTTAACAAATTCAATCATTTGGGGACACTTCTTTCAAGCACATGCAGCAAAAATCACTGTTTGGCTAGAATGGAAAGGATAAGGACAGTGAGGGTTCCTCTGTGTACCTTGTGCACATATCACTTTGTTTTGGCTGTTAGGATTGGAAGAAGAGGCTTGAATGCTTAGTGTCCAAGCCCATCTTGTGCTGCCACAACAGAGCTCCTGAAACTAAGTAATTTATTAAACTGATAAGAACAGATACTACACTTGATCTTAGCCAAAAGGCCGAGAAGCGATGAAACTAAGTAATTTATGAAGAATAGATATTTCTTTTACTCTGAGGCTGAGAAGTTCATGGGCTAGTGGCTGGTGAGCCTCTTCTTGCTCCTTCAGCTTGTAGCAAAGGTATCAGGTCAGGAGAGTCAAAGAAAGAGAAAGAGAGGGACAGGGAGAGAGGAGAAAGGAAAATGGAGAGAGGGGGGAAGGGAGAGAGAGAGAGAGAGAGAGAGAGAGAGAGAGAGAGAGAGAGAGAAGAATAAGCTCATCTTTTATTAAGAACCCATTCTTTTTAGACAAAATGAATATGTGCACTAGAGCAGAGCTCTTAGCCAATCACATCTCAAACCTGTTACAATGGTGATGAGGTTTGTAACACAGAGACTATGGGGAACAAGAATACATTTAGTTATGATCATACATTTTAAAATATAATTTTAAAATATTCTCATCTTCTTCCTCCTGGCCCCCAGTTTCTTCCACACACAGACACATGCAGAAGTAGGTCCTATAGCATAATTATGAAGAAGCTTAGGGAGAAAGCAATACGGGCTGAGAGGAGGCTCAGGCCAGAAAAAGTTCCTGGACTGTGATGAAGGGGAAGGAGAAGATGTGTCTTTTGTGCATCTGTCCTCCATCCTTTCCTCTCTGTTCCTCCACACCCTGAGCCTGAGAGGATATTGAGCCAGGAATAGAAGTAAATACAAACAAAAGCTTTTGAGTATCAGAAAAATCTCCAAAAGGATGAAACTAGGATGTTACTAACACTATAATCTCAAAAAGAAAAAGCTCAAGGGCTGAGGGAGACATATTATCAGTGACTTTTCAAAGGGTTTTTTTCAATTTTTTTGAGATTACCATATATTTATGTCCCCTTCCCTTTCTTTTCTCCACTCCCCCCCACCGCGTGTGTGTGTGTGTGTGTGTGTATGTGTGTGTTTGTTTGTGTGTGTGTGTGTGTGTGTGTGTGTATTCCTGATCATCCTGTGTGATGTTACTTGAAGGTATATGAATATATCTTTTTAAAGAAGTATTTCATATGTTGAATTACAGGAACACAGCATAAAAGGAGACAAGGATACCGTAGGGAATTTATCCAGGACTGTCATGAAAGAGGAGAGCAGAGTCCGAGCATAGGTAGAACTGTCCAGCTCTGGAATCAGACAAGCGATTGAAGGATGGCTGCGAAGCTAGCATGAGTTTCCCCAAAGGTGAGCTCCTTAAGGTCCCACCTTTAGTTCACTGCAGCTTGCATTCAGTCTTCATAGCTGATAATTACAGTATTCTGAAGGGTTGAGATGAGACAAACAGTTTTGATGACAGTGGTTTACTTAGTGAGGAAGAAGGCAAAAACCGAAACGATATTTTTTATAAATATTTTTATTTTATAATTAATTTAATTTTACATATCAGTCACAGATTCACCCGTCCTCCCTCCTTCCATCCCCCAGTTCTCCCCGCCAATCCACTCCCCATTCCCACCCCCTCCAAGGCAAGGTCTCCCCTGGGGAGTCAGCCCAGACTGGTAGATTCAGTTGAGGCAGGTCCAGTGCCCTCTTCCCTGCACCAAGGCTGAGCAAAGTGTTTCAGCATAGGCCCTAGGGTCCAAAAAGTCAGCTCATGTACCGAGGACAGGTCCCAGTCCCACTGCCTGGGGGCCTCCTAAACATTTCAAGCTAATCAACTGTCTCACTTATCCAGAGGGCCTGGTCCAGTTCCATGGGAGTTCCTCAGCTATTGGTTCACAATTTATGTGTTTCCACTAGTTTGGCTATTTGTCCCTGTGCTTCTTCCAATCATGGTCCAGATATCTCTTGCCCATGCAATCCCTCCTCTCTCTTGCTGACTGGACTCCTGGGCTCCTCCTGGCGTTTGGCTGTGGATCTCTGCATCTGCTTCCATCAGTCACTAAATGAGAGTTCTATCATACAGCCAGGGTGTTTGGCCTTCCGATCACCAGAGCAGGTCAACTCAGGCACTCTCTCGACCATTGCCAGGAGTCTATAGTGGAGGTATCTTTGTGGATTTCTGGGGACCTCTCTAGCACTCTGCTTCTTCCCATTCCCATGGGGTCCTCATTCATCATGGTAACTCTTTCCTTGATCTCCCACTCTGCTCCTGATCCAGGTGGGACCTCCTGCTCCCCTAAGCTCTTTTTCCCCCAACCCTTGCCCTCCATTACCCTACCCTTACCCCCAGTTTGCTCATGTAGATCTCATCCATTTCTCTGTCTCTGTGTGATCCCTGTGTCTTTCTTAGGGTCCTCTTTACTAGGCAGCCTCCCTGGAATTGTGAGTTGCAGCAGTCTGGTTATCCTTTGCTTTACATCTAGTATCCACTTATGAGTGAGTATATATATATATATATATATATATATATATATATATATATATATATATATATATATATATATATATATACAATGGGGTACTTACTACTTAGCAGAGGAAAACAATGACATCATGAGGTTTTCAGGCAAATGGATGGAACTAGAAAATATCATCCTGAGTGAGGTAACCCAGACTCAGAAATACAAACATGGTATGTACTCACTCATAAGTGGATAAGTGGATACTAGCTGTAAACCAAAACAATATTTTAAGCCTAAGAGTTATTCACAACCATTGAGACACAGCCACCCTTATGCAAAATCAAATGAAATGTCATTGTGGTTCGGGAAGAAACGATCTTTTATTATAGGCCTTTCTCACTTTGTAAGTTTTTCTAGTCTTTCCCAGTGTCAATAGAAAGAAAATAAGGGTTCTTTATGTGAGCCCAGCCCTAAGACTTCAATTTGTATTTAATCAAATATGGAACACGTTATTCTTCCCTCCCTACTTTCAACATATTTCTATAAGCTTTGTTGTAATAAACAGTTGTTTTAAGGGATTTCTCAGTTGTGGTTTCCAATTGAAATACCGTTGAAGCATTTGTGGGTTATACCCTTGAATCCATAACTAATAAAATTATTTGGAGTGTCTGCATCTATTTTATAGTTAGCTTAAGTACCGAGTATTATAGATGTGTTAGATATGTCCCTAGTCAATAGCAACTAGGTTACTTCTTAGACTACCTATGACTCCCCTAATCCTCTGACATCACTTCTGTGTTCAAATTGGACAGAAGCCAAAATATTCATGCTCTTTTCAGCTGAATTATACCACAGGCTTTCCTAATAAATATGTAAAGACAAAAAAATAGGCAGAGGATTTAAGAACAATATACATGGCAGATCAGAGTTGAAAATACTGGGCTGCCAGACCTGGAGAGAGATAGCTCAATGGTTAAGAGCACTGGTTGCTCTTCCAGAGGATCTGAGTTTAATTCCCAGCACCCACATGGCAGTTTCCTACCATCTGTAACTCCAGTTACAGCGGATCTGACACCTTCATATCGACACACATGCAAGCAAAACACCAATGCACGTGTAATGAGAGAATAAATAAATCATTTAAAAAGAAAAAGAGAAGAAATCACGGGGATGCTCCTTTCAGAGACCCATGACCATGTTTTGCTTCTGTGAGCAGAAAGTACATCAAAGATGTCCTCATTTCAATGGTTGATAGCAATCTCCGCTTTGTGTGTTTCTATTTATCTGGATAGCTAGCGCTTCTTTCTCATTTCTAAGCAACACCTGGCGGCACTGAGGATACAAGCGTCAAGGAGCAAACAGATGGAGGGCAACTGGGCTGTTCAGCTTCTGGAGCAGTCCATCCTAGAGTGGGAGGGCACAGTTAACTACTGGACAGAGCCAGGGAGAGAAAACAAAGCCTGGTCCCAAATGAAAGCTGTTAGGAGCGGTTATCTATACAACGATGGTATTCAGTTTAAGACTATGAATGTTTTGAACACTGTGGTGAAAAGGTGGGTTTCACCTCCGAAGAAGGGAGTTGAATCTATTCAGGTGGCTAATCTTTTGTTTTTGCACTAAAGTGTTTCGCTTCCCTGGGATTTCCATAAGGACATTAAATGGAGAATTATGTGGAGTCAAAAGTTTGCAGCATTTTTTTTTTCACACAGATGTAAATTATTGATAAGTACCAACAAAAGAGGTACCATGATGGTTTACAAAATAAATTCTGGGAGGAGGGGGAGGAAGAGAAGGAGGAGGAGGAGGAGGAGGAGGAGGAGGAGGAAGAGGAGGAGGAGGAAGAGAAGGTTAGAATTATAATTTATTAGTTGTCAGGAGTAGAATAAAATATAATGACCATATCCTTCTAGAAACTCAGTTGCAACCACTTTTCTAAACTAATAAAATAGAATCTACAAATGATAAATGCTCAAATAGCATTTGGGTCTGATAAGTTTGATGACAAAACTGGAGAATTATTTCGAGTTTTCCAACAGATGTAATAATTAGTTTTCAATGTAATTAATTAGATAGTCATATGTGTACTAGTGAATACCTTCCTTTGTAAGTGTCCAAATTGGACACAAACAATTTACTGATACTTATCAAATAGTATCTCTCTATCAATACATCATTGCTATCCACTGTATTGATTTTCTCTTGAAAGGATAATTTACTACCATATTTATGGAAATTAACAATCCTTTTCTTTTGGGGGCATTAATTTCATTAGTAGAATCACATAGGTATGTTAGTGCTGTGGGATGGTCTGTATGTCAAATTGCTCTGATTGGTCAATAAATAAAACACTGATTGGCCAGTGGCCAGGCAGAAAGTAGGTGGGACAAGGAGAGAGGAGAATTCTGGGAAGTGGAAGACTGAGTGAGGGAAACACTGCCAGCCACCACCATGGCAAATAGCATGTGAAGATGCCGGTAAGCTATGAGCCACTTGGCAAGGTATAGATTTATAGAAATGGTTAATTTAAGATATAAGAACAGTTAGCAAGAAGCCTGCCACGGCCATACAGTTTGTAAGCAATATAAGTCTCTGTGTTTACTCGGTTGGGTCTGAGTGGCTGTGGGACTAGCAGATGACAGAGATTTGTCCTGACTGTGGGCTAGGCAGGAAAACTCTAGCAACATGTTAGACCTTCAAATAAGCTTTAATG